GCTAATCAGCAATAGATAAGGTGTCTTATGACCCCACATTTACACCAACACTTGTTATATCCACATGAGTGTGCTTGTGTATGTGTGCACATGTACATGTGCATGCGTGCACACATGCTCAACTCAACAGTCATTAACTTGTTACGATCAAGTTGGAACCGACTCATAGCTGACCCTTCACCAAGTCTCAGACTATAAATTGCATGAAAGGAGATTACCTATCTTTCTCCCAGAACCTCTAGTGGATTCAAACTGCCGAAGAGTTGCCACCATTTAATTAGCAGTGCAGCTCCCTATGTACTGCACCTCCAGAGCTCACAGTATACTCTTGTTGTGTGCCATCAAGTCAAAACCAACTCACAGCTGACCTTTCAGTGGATTATCAGAGGCTGTCAATCATGAAAGGAGAGTGCCCATCCCTATTCCGAGCTGCAACTGATGGATTCAAACCACCTGCCTTTTTAGTACACCCTCTTACAGTGTCTGATCATGTTTTTTGCCCACATTTCTTGTTGGCCAGTAATGTTGAGCATCTTTAATTTTTTGCTTGCCATTTGAATGTCTTCTTAAGCAAAACAGCCATTTACTTAGTTTGTGACTAGATTATTTGTCCTTTTGTGGTTAAATTTTTTACTCTTTATATTTTTATTTTATATATTTTATTTTACTTTTTATATTTTTATTACTCTTTCAAGTATGAGACATACCTTTAAGGTCAGTGACATATTAATCTGATCTTTGAGAAAAATAATCTGAGCAGAGTACTGAAAATGACTGCTTGCCAGGGAAAAGGAGACTTCCCAAAGTAAGTAACATTTGATCTAGAAAATGAAGTTAAGTCATAATTCAAGCAGAAAGGAAAAAGTGGCAAAGATTTTAGGAAAGGTAAAACAGTACTTTGTGGGGTAGGCATTGGACTAGGTAATTTCATATGTGCAGGTAGCTCCCTACTTGAAGCATATTCCACTTGTGACAAATCGTCTTTTGAAAATCTCATCACTAGTAATATGTGCTACATACAAGGTTGTTGTTATGTGCTGTCGAGTTGCTTGTGACTCATAGCGACCCTATATACAAGAGCCCTAAATCCTGCTCTATCTTGTGCCAACCGCATTGTCTTCAACACACCTACTCCCATTATCACAATCATTGAATTGATCCATCTCATCAAAGGTCTTCCTCTCCTGCACTCTCCCTCCAATCTCCCAAATATGATGTCCCTCTCCAAGGACTGGTCCCTCCTTGCAGTATGCCCAAAGTATGTCAGACAAAGCTTCAGAATCCTTGCCTCCAAGGAGCAGCCCAGCTTCACCCACTCCAAGACAAATCTGTTTGTTCTCCTAGAAGTCCATGGTATACTCAACACTCTTCTCTAGCACGAGAGCTCAAAGACATCAATTATCTTTCTGTCATCCCTAGTCACTGTCCAGCTCTCTGATGCATAGCACACAACTGTAAAGACTATAGCCCGGATCAGGTGCACCTTCATCTCCAGCCTAATGTCGTTGCTCATCAGTCCTCTGGAAAGGTCCTTGACAGCAGATTTTCCCAATGCAATTTGTCTTGATTTCTTGGCTGCTGGTACCAAGAGTGTTTATTATGGAGCCAAGCAAACTAAAGCTGTTGATAATCTCAATCCCTTTACCATCCATACTGATGCTACCAGTTGGCCCAGTGGTGAGAATCTTTGTTTTCTTGATGTTGAGCTTCAATCCATATTGAAGACTTAAGTCTTTGACCTTCTGCCGCAAGTAGGGTTGTGTCATCTGCAGAACACAAGTTGTTGATGAATCTTCCACCAATCCTGATGCCACGTTCTTCCTCATGCAGCCCAGAAGCCCAGATGATCTGTTCTACATACAGATTGAAAGGGTATGGAGACAGAATACATCCCTGATGGGTGGCCTTCTTAATTTTGAACGATGCAGTGTCTCCTTGCTCTGTTCTGACGACTGGTTTTTGGTCCAGGTATATGTTTCTCATTCTACGGGCCTTTTGTACCTGTGGGCGGGGCAAAGTTTTTCCCGAGAGTTGGGGGAGGGGGAGAAGATTCTCACCACTGGACCAATTGGCAGCATCAGGATGGATGGTGAAGAGATTGAGATTGTTAACAACTTTAGTCTGCTTGGCTCCACAGTCAACACTCTAGGCACCAGTAGCCAGGAAATAAAAAAATGTATTGCAATGAGAAAGTCTGCTGTTAGGGACCTCTCCAGGGTACTGAAGAGCAATGGTGTCACTCTGGAGACTAAGGTGCATCTGATACAGGCTATGGTCTTTGCCATCACTTGTTATGCATCAGAGAGTTGGACAGTGACTAGGGAGGATAGAAGGAGAATTAATGCCTTTGAGCTGTGGTGCTGGAGAAGAGTATTGAATGTACCATGGACTGCCAAGAAAACAGATTCATCCTGGAGAGAGCTAAACCAGGCTGCTCCTTGGAGGCAAGGATTCTGGGGCTTTGTCTGACATGCTTTGGACATGTTGTAAGGAGAGACAGGTCCTTAGAGAGGGACATCATGTTTGGGAGGTTGGGGGGATGGCGCAAGAGGGGAAGACCCTTTATGAGGTGCATTGATTCAGTGACTGGGGTAATCAGGATGGGTGTGTCAGAGGCAATGCGATTGGCACAGGATAGAGCAGGGTTTAAGGCTGTTGTACATAGGGTCGCTATGAGTCGCAAGCGACTCGACAGCACATATCAACAACATGTTTCTCATAAGCACAATCAAATGTTCTGGGATTCCCATTCTTCTCAGAGTCAGCCATAGCTTGTTGTGATCCACACAGTCGAAAGCCTTTGCATAGTCAATGAAGCCCAGATATACATTCCTCTGGTACTCTATGCTTTTTGCCAAGATCTCTGTGACATTAGCTATAATACCCCTAGTACCACGACCTCTTCTAAACCCAGCCTGCTGACATGTTGCTCCAGTCATTTTTTTATCATTTTCAGCAGAATTTTGCTTGCATGTGATATTAATGATATTGTTCAATAATTTCCACACTCTGTCAGGCCTTTCTTTAGAATGGAAAGAAATCTTGATCTCTTCCAGTCAGTTGGCCAGGTAGCTGTCCTCCAGATTTCTTGGCACAACTAAGCACATCCAGGGCAGCATCTGTTGAAATATATCAATTGGAATTTTGTATTATAACATATAATTTGCTGGTCTTATTATTCTTGAGCAGATGTTCAATATTAGGATCTATAAAGATACTGATAATAAAAGTCAATAATAATGAAACAAAAATAGTTGAAGAAACCAGCTTATGACAGAGTCATTGAAATAGAACCCCATCATATGTCAGGAACTACATCTTATCCCATACAGTCTGCAGACAAGCCTTCTGAGGTGGATTTTATCCTCCTTTTACAGATGAAGAAACTGTGACTTGGAAAAAATAAATGACTTTCACAAATGGCATGTGCAGTGATTTGCTGGAGAGTTAAATTAACGAGTGCACCAGTCAGTTAGTTGCTCATAAATGTCATTTAAGTTTTCCAGACTTAAGTGTATTGTTTGTTAGAATACGTAACCCACTTCATTGAAGTCAGTTTGAACTCCTAGGAAGCCTATAGGAGAGAATAGAACTGGCTCAAAAGGGTTTTCAGGGTGAGTCTTTATGGAAGCTGATAGTCACATCACTTTTCTATAGGAAAACGGAAAGTTCAAACTGTCAACTTCCATAAATAGATGAGCATTTTAACAGCTATACCACAGACTTGACAGAGTTATTACCAGAAATATTCTTAAGGAATTAGGGAGCTCTGGTGGATAAAGAGATACACTGCCAACCCAAGGACAGAGGGTTCAAATCCAGGAGCTGCTCAGAGTGGGAATGATTTACAGTCTTTCTGTGTGATTTACAACCTCTTAAAACTTGGGCGGGGGGAAGAAACCTGCTGGAGGGTCAGCTTTGAGTTGGTTCCACCTTGACAACAGGGAGTTTGATTCTTAAGGAGTGTAGAACAAAGAATTTGTAAACTATTGGGGCTGCTGTTGGGAAAACAAAGAATTTGTAAACTATTGGGGCTGCCGGTGTGGTTCAGATCCACAGGAGGAGGCCACAGTAACTTGTTGCTGTACTCTGTCTATAAAGGACAGTATTTTCCTGAATAAGTCTTACAAATTTTCCTAGAATTCTCAAGAGTAGCAACCTAGTTTTCACGGTAAATATTCTCAAGAGTAGCAACCTAGTCTTCACGATAAATGTTTAACTGATACATGAAGACTAACAAAGTCAATCAGAAGTATATCTGAGTGGCTATATTAGTAAGACATGTAAAAGATGCATGAGATAGATAGATAGATAGATAGATAGATAGATAGATAGATAGATAGATAGATAGATAGATGCAAAAGTTTGCATTTTTTTTCACTGCTTGGTCAATACTCTTCGACTGTGTGTCGTGCCATCTCTAGAATATGTCAAAAATTGAGATCAACATATATATGTACAGATACATCAGTGGGCTCAAGTATATCAGAGATGATGAGAATGGCATAAGATAGGGCAAGGTAGCGACTGTCCATCGGATTTTCAAGGAGTGGCATCTACTTCCTAAATAACATGCCTCCGGAAACTGAATTTTGATAAATGTTGATAGTTGTAGAGGGGCTTCAGGCCTTTTGTTCATAGGGTCTCTATGAACTGTGCTCACCTCGAAGGCAATCATCAACAACAACAACAAATTATAATAAGCAAAGAAGCTGGTAGATTCATACCTCATACCTTTTGGTTATCATTACAATATGCTACAGCCATAGTATGCCACAAGAGTTCTTTAGATACGTACATAGAGAGAAGGATTGTAAATAGTGATTCTAATAATAGTGCTGCCAGTAATCTCTCTGTAATATTGAATATAGTGTTCTAGTTTGTTGACCTCTTTAATAATAACCATAAATATAGATTAAATTCTTGTGAAACAAAATCAGAAAAGAATGAGTGAATTGATAGTCCTCTCTTAATGAAACAATATTTTTTGTTGTCTTCAGGAAATTTCTATAATCAAGGAGAGATCCGCAAGAAAGAACTTATGGAGAGCTGTGGTGTTTTGGGGATTCCACCTTCCAGTGTAATGATTATCAACAATAGGTAACTTATCTTTTAACAATGTAAAAATTCATTAGCAAAATTATGCATTATTACCCTAAAACCACTAAAAAAACCCACCCTAATCTGAGTAGTTGTTGTTGTTTTATGTGTCATCAAGTCATCTGCAACTAATCGTGACCCTGTGTACAACAGCCTTAAACCCTGCTCTGTCCTGTGCCAGTCTCATTGTCTCCAACACACTCACCCCATTACTTCAGTCACTGAATCAATTCACCTCATAGAGGGTCTTTCTCTCCTGCGCTATCCCTCCACCCTTCCAAGCATGACGTTTCTCTCCAAGGACGGGTCCCTCCTTGTATCATGTCCAAAGTATGTTAGAATCCTTGCCTCCAAGGAGCATCCCAGTTTAACCCTCTTCAGGATGAACCTGTTTATTTTCTTAGCAGTCCTTGGTATATTCAGTACTCTTCTTCAGCACCACAGCTCAAAGGCATCAATTCTCCTTATCCTCCCTAGTCATTGTCCAGCTCTCTGATGCATAGCAAGTGATTGCAAAGACCATGGACTCTTTCACACACATCTTAGTCTGCAGATTGACACCATTGCTCTTCAGTACTTTGAAGAGGTCCCTAACAGCTGACTTTCCCATCACAATACATTTTTTTTCATTTTCTGGCTGCTGGTGCCAAGAGTGTCAGAGTAGGTAAAAATATTTAAGGAGTGTATGTAAGATAGTTTCCTTCACATTTGTTTTTAAATAACAGTGTAATGCAAATATATTTTATCAACTTATGTTCAGATTTTGTATCTTAAGATAGGTGCTTCTCTTTTATATTTAAAAATTAATTATCACCAAAATGTGTCAAAAATTCATTGAAGAGAACTTTATGAACTCATATTCCTTTTGCCGAAAATAAACACTCATATTCTTATTACTGAAAATAAACAATTATCAAATGTTGTTATACTTGCTTGACCATATCTCCACTTGTTTCCTTTTATATATAAGAAGCATATTAAAGAAAACATCATATTATTTCACCCATATATGCCTAGATGTGTATCCTTTAAGATGTATCTTTTTTCACACAGCCACAAAACCACTATCTCAACTAACAAAATTAACAGTAATTCCTTAGTGTGTCATCCAACAACTAGTCAATTTTGAAATTTTCTGATTAGCTCAAAAATATTGTTTTACAATTGGTATTTTCAAGTCACAGTCTAAACATTATACTTGATTAGTTTTCTCCATTTCTTTCCTCTCTCCTTCCCTGACCATGCTGTTACATATTTAGTTGTTACAGAGGATATCCGGCATTTGGGATTTTTTCTGCTCTCTAATAGTATTATCTAAACTGTTTCCCATCCTCTGTACTTCTTGCTGTACTGGAGGACTTAGCAAAAATTAAGACCTCGGGAGGTGATGGCATTGTGTGAGCAAACAAAACAAAAACACATCAACGTGTAACTAGAAGGCAGTGTCCTGGCTAACTGACTGGAAGAGATCTATATTTATTCCCATTCAAAAAAAGGGGGGATCCAACAGAATGTGGAAATTATTGATCACTAGGATCACACACAAATAAAATCTTGCTGAATATTATTCTAAAATAGTACATCCACAGGGAACTGCCAGAAATTCAAGCTGGACTCAGAAGATGCTGTGAGACAAGGGATATCATTGCTAATGTCAAGTGGATCTTTGCTGGATACAGCTAAATACCAGCAAGATGTTTACTTGTTTTTCTTTATTGTCTACAAAAAGACATTTCGCTTCATGCATCATTATAAATTATGGATGATACTGAGAAAAATGGGGAATCCCAGAACACTAATTGTGCTCATGGAAATCTTATACATGGACCAAGAAGCAAGCAGCTGCCTGAACAGAGCAAGGGAACACTACGTGGTTTAAAACCAGGAAAGGTGTGTGTCTGGGTTGTATCCTTTCTCCACACCTATTCAATCTCTCTGCTGAGCAAATCATTCAAGAAGCTGACCTGTATGAAGAAGGACATGGCTTCAGGATTGGAGGAAGACTCAGCAGCTGCCTTTGTTACATAGTTCACAACAGCCTTCCTTGCTAAAAGAGAAGAGGACTTGAAGCACTTGCTGCAAAAGATCAAAGCATCACAGTGTTCAATATGGATTACATCTTAACAGCCAGAGAGGGAAAAGAAATCTCACCATTGGAACAATAGCCAACATCATGATAGAAAAAAAAGAAAATCTTAGTTAATTGTCAATAATTTTCTTTTGGATCCACAGTCCACACATGTGTTAGTTGTTAATAAGTCCCGGTGAGTCCATTACAATTCATAGTGACCCTATGAACAACAGGTCTAAATCTTGCTCAGTCCCGCAACATTCTTACAATCTGATATATTTAAGCCCATTGTTATGGTCACTGTGCTTATCCTTCCTGATGAGAGTCTTCCTCTCTTTCTCGGACCCTCCACCAGTTAAGAAACCAAAGATAGTAAGAAAAGCTGCTGTCAAGGACCTATCCAAAGTACTAATGAGCAACAATATGAGTTTAAAGGCAAAGGTGTACTGGAAACAAACTATGATTTGTTTGTTTTCGTTTTCTTTGTATCTGAAATTTAGACAAGGAATAAGAAAAAACAGAAGATCAATGCCTTTGAACTGTGGTGTTGGAGAAGAGTATTGAATATCCCATGGACCTCCAAAAGAACAAACTGTCTTAGAGGAAACACAGCCAAGGTGCTCGTTAACAGCAAGGATGGTGAAACTTTGTCTCATACTTTGGGCAGATTGTCAGGAGGGGCCAGTCCTGGGGAAAAAAGTAACATGCTGGGAAAGGGAGAGGGACAGCAAATGAGACGAAGACCTTCAATAGGATAGATTAACCCTGTGACAGTGGACTCAAGCATGTTGGAGACTGTAAGGATGGCACCACATAGGGCAAGGCTCAGCACTGTGGTCCACAAGGTGGTTATGAGTGGTAGTCAAGTTTACAGCACTAGAAGTCCAGGCTAGGTTTAGAAGGGGTAGTGGTACTAGGGATATTGTAGCTGATGTTAGATGGATCTTAGCTGAAAGCAGAGAATATCAGAGGAATGTCTATCTGTGTTTCATTGACTGTGCAAAAGCATTTGACTGTGTGGATCATAACAAACTGTGGCTGACTCTGAGAAGAATGGGAATCCCAGAACACTTGATCATGCTAATGCGAAACTTATACTTGGACCAGGAGGCAGTCGTCAGAACAGAGCAAGGGAACACTGCGAGGTTCAAAATTGTGAAGGGCGTACGCCAGGGATGCATCCTATCTCCATACCTTCTCAACCTATATGCAGAGCAGATTATCTGGGAGGCTGGGCTCTATGAGGAGAAATGTGGGGTCAAGATTGGTGGACGATTTATCAACAATCTGCGTTATGCAGATAACACAACCCTGCTTGCTGAAACTGAAGAGGACCTAAGGCACCTGCTGCAGAGGGTCAAGGACTGGGGCCTTCAATATGGATTGAGGCTCAAAGTCAAGAAGACAAAGATTCTCACCACTGGGCCAATTGGCAGCATCAGGATGGATGGTGAAGAGATTGAGATTGTACACAGCTTTAGTTTGCTTGGCTCCACAGTCAACACTCTTGGCACCAGTAGCCAGGAAATTAAAAGGCGCATTGCCATAGGAAAGTATGCTGTTAGGGACCTCTCCAAAGTACTGAAGAGCAATGGTGTCTCTCTGGAGACTAAGGTGCCTCTGATACAGGCCATGGTTTTCACAATCACTTGTTATGCATCAGAGAGTTGCACAATAACCAAGGAGGATAGGAGAATTGATGCCTTTGAGCTGTTGTGCTGGAGAAGAATATTGAGAATACCATGGACTGCTAGGAAAACAAACAGATTTGTCCTGGAAAGGGTTAAACCAGGTGGCTCCTTGGAGGCAAGGATTCTGAGGCTCCATCTAACATACTTTGGATATGTTATAAGGAGGGGCCAGTCCTTGGAGAAGGACATCATGCTTGGGAGGGTGGAGGGACAGCGCAGGAGAAGAAGGCCCTCTATGAGGTGGATTGATTCAGTGACTGGATTAATCGGGATGGGAGTGTCAGAGACAGTGCGATTGGCACAGGACAGAGCAGAGTTTAGGGCTGTTGTACATAGGGTCGCTATGAGTCGCAAGCGACTCAACGGCACATAACAACAACAATAATGAAAAAATTCAAAAAGTAAGAATGGAGAACATAGAAGGATGAATGGAAACAAGAATCATAGAGAAATGTGGGAAGAGTGATGATACAGTGTGGGGACTGTGATTAGGGTTTAAAACAAAATATATGTGAATGGTTGAGATACAAACCCAACTTTGTAACCTTTAATTCAAAGCATAATAAATTAATAACATTTAAACATAAAATAATTCTGATAAAAATGCATGTCGGTATAGATTAAGCAAAAAGAGGAAGTTGCTGACAATGTGAACCTCAATGGAAGGCACATAAGTGTTCATTAAACTATTCTTTTAAACCTTCTCATTACTTGAAAATGTTAATATTTAAAAAATTAAAATATTACACCACATGTTTTACCCCCTCTATTTTCTAACTTATGTAAATATATTTGCTGTACTGAAATAGGACACCATATACTGTTTCCCCTCTGTTTTCTAACTTATGTAGATGTATTTTGCTGTGTTTTTACTGACCTCCTCTTTGATTTAATATAAATAGCAACTCTGTATAACAGCAACTGACTTTCTTGGCCCTCTCTATTTCATAACCTTCTCAGGTTAAAACTGCACCTCACTACCTCTCCAGCTTTTGAAATTTTTTATAAATTAGTTTGTACTTGCTTCATGTTCCAGTAGTTTTTTGATAACCTTAAGCAAGATCTTGCTTGCATGTGCTATTTATGATAATGTTCAATAATTTTCACACTCTGTTGGATCACCTTTCTTTGGAATAGGAAAAAATATAGATCTATTCCAATCAGTTAGCCAGGTGGTTGTCCTCCAGATTTCTTGGCACAACTTGGTGAGCACAACCAGGGCAGCCACTGTTTGTTGA